TGAACAGCATTTTCACTTATTTTATAATATTTAACAACTTTAATGTAAAAATAATTTAAGAAATAATAAATAATTGTTTTAAAAATTCATGTTTCATTGAAAAAGTGTTTCTGCTTTCAGACAATATTATCCATATTCATAAAAGCAACTAAAAGCATTTGAAATTAAATAATATATTTTCTTTTATTGAGTTTTTTTAATTTACAATTCAGAGAGCTGATTTTCAGGTTGGGGGTGGGGTATCAGATTAAAAAAAAACGATTTGCTTTCCTCAAAACCTTGTGCTTTTAACTAATATAATCACTAAACTAACCCGTATTGAATTTCTAGAGTTTTCATAAAATTAGTTATGAGAGTGGGGTAGGGAGTTTAATAAATATAAAAAATATTTTTTGCCATAACTTTAAAAAAAAACATATTTCCAATAATTTCCATCATTTGTGAATAGTTTCTGAAAATTTCATTAACATCCGACAATTATTTTTATTTCTGCAAGATTTTTGAAATTAATGTCTGTTATAAAAAAAAAAAAAACATACTAAAATTTTATGTTAGTAGTTCCACTGATACAAAGAGAAACAAGATTTTCTTAATCAAAAGTTAGAATGTTCTAAAAAGGAAAAATTTTAAATACTTTGTTCTTTCCTCTTAAAACAAACATTTAGACAATAAAATTTTGTTTTCATAAAGTTTGGCATCTTTTTCATCATGATAAGCTTTCTTTTTTTTTTTTTTTTTTTTTTTTTTTCTCCTTCTATTTTTAGCAATTTCATGGAGGTACCTATAAACCAGTAGTATTTTTATTACTATCTATATGCTATCAGGATAGTTCAGAAATCTTTGACTTTGCCTTTCAGGGTGTTGACAATCATGACTCTCTACAATTTCTTGTTCTCTGTAGCTCTTAATAAATGTTGTCCTTTTGCTATCTTTCCTAAACCTTGCTCCATCATTCATTTACTCAAGCTCTCTAGATAGGTTATGCATTGTTTTGCCCCTGTCCCTCTTGCCTTCAGTTTATCCTGTTAGTATTAAATTTTCCAAGCCCTGTTTCCTCATTATGTGCCCTAGAAATTTCGATTCTCTTCCTGATGTTAAGTATAAGTGTCCTTTTAGTTTTCATTTTCTCTAAAACTTCAACATTGTTCACATGTCCAGTCCATAGTATTCTCAGTATCCTTCTGTAGAACCACATTTCTGTTACTTCAAGTCTCTTCATTGTCCCATATTCACTGCCATATGAAAGGACTAATATTAAATAATAGTTCAGTACTCTTTTTTTCTAAGAAAATTTTAGTTCAGAAATCACCAAATTAAATAATCTTATTTAGGATTTCTCAGATATTCATTACTTTCTTAAATAATATTGAATTAATGCTTTGTATAATTATTTGCAAACAAATGTATGAAAGAAAAAAAAAACTCCTTTGCATCTTCTATTGGGAACATAAAACCAATGAGTTTGTGCAGAAAAGGGTTGGCAGTTTTGTGGTCCACCAGTCACCTCTTCTCACCACTATCAAACAGAGAAAAATCGCATGGTTTGGACACATTACAAGACACAACAGCCTGTACAAGACCATCATGCAAGGCGCTGTTGAATGGTGGACCTAGGAGAGGACACCAACACAATTGGTTGTCCAATGTCAAACAATGGACAAGTATGACTATACCAGAATTGCTGATGGCTGCCATTGATAGACTGTTGTGGATGAGATTCAGTGCAGATTCTGAATTCGGACCCCCCATTACAAAAAAGTCAAGAGAAATGATGTGATAAATAATTAACAAAGCCTACATTTTTTTTTCTATCCTCATCTATTTCTTGATTATATTTTTTTTTTTTTTGTCATCAAATAAAAACTTCTGATTAGCCAACATTTTGAAAGTAACATTTTTTTTACATTAATTTATTCTCAAACTGTTATCTTCATCTTGGTTATTATTGTATTCTCCAGCTCTCATCTTCAGATGTCTGTCATATTTTATTCTTGGAATTTCAAACCAAACTTATATTTGTTTCATGGTAATACATTTTACATTCCAATTCTTGTCCTTTGAAATATTTCATATTAGTTAATTGTTTTTATTTAGTTTCCTTAAATTGTAATTTCTGAATTTCATTAAAATTGAACTACATAACCATCAGTTAAACTGTAACTCTATTATACCTACTAAGTCAGTCCCAATTAAATGCTGTAATTTTGTTTTGTTTTTTTTTCTCTCTTTTTCAAAGGCTTATGTATGGTGATCAATTGTATGTTACGTTTCCTGCTAAGAATATTTTAAGAGGCTATCCTGTGTACTGATTCTGTCAATTACCTTATTCTCTGGTGTTCTCTGTCTACAGTGGCTGAAACATTGTTTACCACAACTAAAATGAAGATAATAATGATGATTCAATGATTATTATAAGGTTTTATAATTTATTATACTGTCAAAATTATTCAGAACTGAAACATTTAAAGTAAAAATTACGTTTTTTTTTTTGTTTTTTTTTCTCCAACTTTCATGATGGCAAGATATTAAATAAACTTTTTTTTGTGTTTTTTATTTTATTTTTCTGCTAAATTTTGGCTTTGGTTTGTATTTAATATTTTTGGTTTTCATAATATAATTGCCTGAAATATTAGATTTTAGTGTGGGTCATCTTTTTTGACATTTAGATAACTGAACATTGCTTTCTTTTCTTATTCAGTTACAAGGGGGTGCTGAAAAGCTTTCAGGCTGAGCTACTTTCCAAAATCTGGTCATATAACCAAAGTGTTTTGTCATTAATTTTTGCAAGTGGCATTTTTTTTTTTTTTTTTTTGTCATGAATTTTCCAGTACTGAACCTTGAAAGGCTTTGGGTTTTGCTTTATAAAGAATATTAGTGTATTTAATCCACCTCTTTTTGATTTTGCATTTTTCTATCAACAAAAAGTTCTGATGGCTTAAATTTGTAGTTATTTTCCTCTAAGTTAAATTTCTATAATAATCAAACCAGCATAAAAACTCCCTCATTTACATTTAATATTACAATATTGTGGAGTTTTCCATGGTATTGTTACTTGCTAGTCCATGATATCCAGGTAAACATTGGCCAAAACATATGCCATCAAATTTGGTCCATCAAGTAAGTGCCATATGTGATACATGCTTGATTGATTATGTCTCTTACTGACTAGGCAGATTTTCCCACAGTAGGTTGCCATTTCTTTGTGGCATCAAATTTGGTACTGAATTAAATAAAAATACCTTTAATAATATAAAACTATTTTCATCTATGCATCTTTAAATAGTAAAGTGTTCAAAATTTTGATTTCATTGCTTTGTAGAACTCCTTATTCAAAAATTCAGAATAAGTTTGGGTTAATGTTCTCAGCTGACATGAAGTGGAAAGACTTGCAGAAAATCCATTGCTAGGCCAGCTCTTAAGAAAGTTGGTTCAATGTATCTTGCAAGATAATTTTTCTCTCCAGAATCTATCCTATATCTATAAGTCCATGCTCAGAATATTGGTATTTACATATGGTCTGGGGCCCCTGCTATTTACCTTGAGCTCCTTGATAAAATCCAAAGAAGAATTAGTTTGGCTTCATTCACTTTTCCACTGCTGTAAGGTTGCCTCTCTTTGTTTTCTTTTTCTATAAATACTTTCATAGTAATTGCTTAGATGAGTACCTTAGCTTTTTGAATTTAAGCTCAGTACGAGACTGGTGTTGAGATCTCATCAATTTACAGCTGACCTGGCTAGATGTAACTGTAAATTCTAATTCTAATTTCTTTTCTTGCTTGTGGAACTCCCTTCTGGCTCCATGCATTCCAGCCAACTTTAATCTTCAAAAATTTAAATGCAATGTCAATCACTATCTACTGTTCCCCTAATTACTTTTTTCTCTTCCCACTAATTATTAATGGTTGTGTTCCTAATTCTTCCACACTCTGTAACCCCTTGTGTCTTAGTGGCTTTACTTCTTTGCCTGGGGGTGATACCAAAAAAAAAAAAATTCTTCTTCATTTAAGCAATGATTTATATTTCTTTGATCACAAGTATTAAACATTTCTTCCACTGCATAAAAATTATTAGATCTTAAATACTATATACTCACTCTAGATTTATTAGATAGAATTATCAATTCTGTGAATATTAAAACATTAATGTGAATCAATATTGCCAAAAATTATTTTACCCAAATTCTACGAATCTGAAGATATAATTATAAAAAAAGAAAAAAATTAGTCTACATATACAAAAGATATTTATACAACTGGGAATCACTGAAGAAAAAATATTTACAAAATAAAAATTCTCTTCTGATGTTTTTTTTTTTTTTTATTTTTTTTTATTATAAGTAAAAGGCATTTAAGACATTAACTGCTATTACAAAATCTGACTTCAAACACCAACTTCATGATAATAACTGACTTTGGTAATAAAAAATTTTTATGGGTTGATTTATAGCTTCAACTAGTCTTAACATTGTTTTCTCACTAAAAGTATCACTTAAGACCACATCATGTTAAAGCACCTTAATGGGTGACTGCTTGGAAATTTCCAGGGCTGTAAGCTTAGTTATACAGGTGGTATAATGGATAATGGCTTGGAATTGTCATTCAGAGAGCCAAGTTCCAATACCAGTTGGGTTCCTTATATTAACTTACACACAAATACCATTGGAAAAGGTATGAATCCACTTCTCTCCCCCACCACAGCCAATGGTTAATTAGAAAGACTTGTATCAATAAATCATTATCTCAAAAAAAAAAAAAAATTCTTACAATCTAAAAATATTTTCTGGCTTTAAATAACCTGCAAAGTTCATTATATTGTTTAATTTCTTGAATAATGAAATGACCAAGTACTGAACTTTAGTTTTACTAAAGAGGATTAGTTTTCTTTAATCCTATTTGACCTTTCTTTTTAGTTCCTCTATTACAACAGTGATTATTCAAGCCATTTAGCTAACTATAAGAGCTTTGGTTTAAAATTGGTAACCTCTCTTTGTCCATAACTATATGCAAACGTCTATTTCTTTTTTTTCTCTCTATCTCTCTCTCTCTCTCTCCATCTCTCTATCTCTCTCATCTCTCCCTCATCTCTCTCTATCTCTCTCCATCTCTCCCTCTCTCTATCCTCTCTATCTCTCTATCTCTCTCTCTCTCTATCCCCCCTCTCTATCTCTCTCTCTCTCCATCTCTCTCTCCATCTCCTCTATCTCTCTCATCCATCTCCCATCTCTCTCTCTCTCATCTCTATATCTCCTATATCTCTCTATCTCTCATCTCTCCTCTCTATATCTCTCCATCCCTCTCTCTCTCCATCTCTCTCATCTCTCTCCTCTCTCTCTCTCTCTCTCTCTATCTCTCTCCTCTCTCTCTCTCTCTCTCTCTCTCTCTCTCTCTCTCTCTCTCTCTCTCTCTCTCTCTATCTCTCTCTCTCTCTCTCTCATCTCTCTCTCTCTCTCTCTCTCTCTATCTCTCTCTCTCTCTCTCTCTATCTCTATCTCTCTCTCTCTATCTCTCTCTCTCTCTATCTCTCTATCTCTCTGTGCATGTAAAAAAAATATCAGGAGAAAAAGACTTTTTTTTTTTTTTTTTTTTAATATATATATAATGTATAAATCCTTACATCATAAAGGTTGTAGCTGCACCACATCTGCTATAGCAGCAGTGGTGTGTCTATGGCAAGATAGCATGATGGAGCTCATCCCTCTTTAGGCTGGTTTTTAATTCAATTTTCTCCACTTAGACAGGCTGCCACTTCAAAGTAAGAGACCCCAGTCAACCTTGTTATTTAATTCATAACTGTTGTGTGGAGAAAGAAATGGACTCATTAAATGTATAAACAAATGCTTATAAAATATACTGTATTCATGATTTGACCATTGGATCAAATTATAACTTATCTCATTTTCAAAGGGAAGTGGATATTGTTCTGTTTTGTTGTAAGATTAAAAATCATAAATCTTTTTGATATATAATGATTGGTTTCTATTATAATTTTTCAATAAAACCTTGCCTACTCAATACAGCAATTAATTTTTAGAACTTATAGTTTCCTGTTCAATGATTTAACCAGTAAGCTATCACTCAGCATTACCTTCATAAAATAATAACTACACAATTTCATTATTTATTTTACATTTATTTTACATTTATTTTATTATAAAAAAAGAAAGTTTTATATCTTATTTTCTGGAAGAATTATACTTTTGTGATTCATCAGCCCATTGAATCATAGTTTAACTGGTTGCCTATGTTTTAAATAGAACATAAGCTTACTTTAAATAGAAAATTTTAACATAATCCTGTTTGTAAAATCTCTATTGATTATTATGGGATGAAGAATTTAAAAACTTAGCAGATTGTTTGATTTCTGCATTCAACCTGAAGTAAAAAAAATATTAGCTTTTAATTTTCATAATCCAAATACAAGTTGAGGGTATGTAAAATAAATTGTTCATTTATGCATTGTATGATTATTAGTATTGATAATTTCTTCAATATTCTTATCTATTTCTTCATTATTATTCCTGATAATAGGAAAATGTTTTAAGTGGCATTACTGCTTGTTGATTTAAATATATGCAGTATAAAAATAAATACATATGCATGTTAATTTATGGTTGCTTAAAATACCTGAATTGATTTCAAACAACTTTTTTTATTTATACATTTGCCAAATAACAAGCACCTGGAGTGGTAGCACCTGTTAGGGTTCCAGATATGGGCAAATAGTGAAACCCATCCCCAAAACAAAATACCATGAAAGAATAAAAATACATTTTTATAGTAAAAATACTAGTAATACATTTTTATATATTAAAAAAAAAATACCAACAATACATTTTTTTTCCTTACTAATGTTCACATAATACAAGGCCCAATAGCCACTCAAGGTAGAGGGTTACTTTGTGGAGTTCTATTAGCATAGAAAAAGACAGGCATTAGTAAAGAGCTGAGGTAGACTTTAAAAGGAAACAAATCTAATCCTAAACAGGAAACAAGAGATAAACATTTATTAGATTTAGGAGGTGTTTGAACTGGACAATAGATGAATCTATGTACTCCTATTGTTGGAGGAGAGGAAAAACAAATAAGTAGTTAGTGGATGAAATTTCAGAGTTCAGGTGCAGATGTTAGGAGTAAAGAGCTGAAGCAGAAACCCAATCCTAAATAGGAAATGAGGGATAAACCTTTACTCCTGTTCAAAAGTCTGTGGAGGAACATAACCAGGTGATAGGCAAACCTTTCTACTCCTATTGTTGGCGAGAAAAAAAATGAAATAATGAATAAACTTTCAGGCATACAATTGCGTTCAAAATATTTATATTTCAGCATTAATATATCCCATACAGATTGATATTCTACAAAAAAACAAAAAAAAAAAGACAAATAACAAATACAACTACATTTGTCTCTTTATCAACAAGATTTGAACTGCAAATCAAAGTTCAGTCATTGTATTAGTTACCATTTTATATTAATCCAAACCTTTTAATAAAAAAAAAAAAAAGAAAAAAAAGTGTCCAATACACACTTAAAATTCCAGAAGATAGAAACTGATTCTAATATAAAAGGTATTATAGTAAATTTTTAAAGTGAGTTTTGAATAAGTACCATCTGTGGATTTCCAAGGTTCTTTAAAGAAAGGGATGGAATTAATTGAATTTACTTTTGGTAAAACTTGTATAGTGCATGAAGCCTCTAGTTTATGTTCTTGGGTGTATGATCTTAACTACACCTTTCTCTCTCTCTCTCTTCCCCCCCACCTCTCTCTCTCTCTCTCTCTTCCCCCCCTCTCTCTCTCTCTCTCCCCCCCACCTCTCTCTCTCTTCCCCCCACCTCTCTCTCTCTTCCCCACCTCTCTCTCTCTTCCCCCACCTCTCTCTCTCTTCCCCCACCTCTCTCTCTCTTCCCACCATCTCTCTCTCTTCCCCCCCATCTCTCTCTCTCTTCTCTCCCACCATCTCTCTCTCTCTTCTCTCCCACCATCTCTCTCTCTCTTCTCTCCCACCATCTCTCTCTCTCTTCTCTCCCACCATCTCTCTCTCTCTTCTCTCCCACCATCTCTCTCTCTCTCTCCCCACCATCTCTCTCTCTCTCTCCCCCACCATCTCTCTCTCTCTTCTCTCCCACCATCTCTCTCTCTCTCTCCCACCATCTCTCTCTCTTCTCCCACCATCTCTCTCTCTCTCTCCCACCATCTCTCTCTCTCTTCTCTCCCCCATCTCTCTCTCTCTCTCCCCACCATCTCTCTCTCTCTCTCTCCCACCATCTCTCTCTCTCTTCTCTCCCACCATCTCTCTCTCTCTCTTCTCCCCACCATCTCTCTCTCTTCTCTCCCACCATCTCTCTCTCTTCTCTCTCCCTCTCCATCTCTCTCTCTCTCTCTCTTCTCCCCATCTCTCTCTCTCTCTCTCCCCACCATCTCTCTCTCTTCTCTCCCACCATCTCTCTCTCTCTTCTCTCCCACCATCTCTCTCTCTCTTCTCTCCCACCATCTCTCTCTCTCTTCTCTCCCACCATCTCTCTCTCTCTCCCACCATCTCTCTCTCTCTCTCCACCATCTCTCTCTCTCTCTCCCCTCTCCCTCTCTCCCACCCCTCTCTCTCCCCCACCCCTCTCTCTTCCCCCCACCTTTCTCTCTTCTCTCTCTTCCCCCCCCACCTTTCTCTCAATTGCATTGGGTACATTTTCTATATGGGGGAGAAAAGTTTTGTTTATGAAGAATTTGTAACTAAACTGGTTATGTTTTAGAATAATGTCTTTCTACAGTAATATTATTGATTTTTGTTAAGGTCTTTCAAAATTATATTAAATTTAGTTGTGTGTCCTCCCCCTGATTATTTTGGCAAAACTTTTTTTTCTTGTGTATCTTTCATACTGCACTTAATTGGGGAATAGATCAAATATATAGAAATTTTGTAGCTAATTTTTGATAAATTCAAATTCTGCTATTCAGATATTATTATTTAGGATGTTTCTATATTATAAATTTTCAGTGAAAACCACTTTTATTAAAATTTTGTTTCAGCTTAGTATTCATTCTGCAGTTAGATTCTTTATAAGTCAGTAAAACCCTTGTATTATTTTTTCTGAATTTTTGTTTCTAAAGCCACGAGAAAGAAGTTTCAATAAATTGTTTTCATTTGTTTGTTTCATAACCTACAGATCACTATTTATGTAATTGTGATTAATGAAAACATTTTCTTAAAATTATTTCATCATGTCTATCAAATAGTTTGATTATCTTTGGTAGCTTTTCTCCTTGAGCTGTGATGATATGAGTGGCAACCCACTTGTACAGGGCAAGTAGTACTCCAAGGAGACTTGACAACTGTCAATGATCAGAGCTAAATATAGAAAGATCCAGTTTGATTGTATAGAACTGGGTGGAGGGATGTGAGAGAAGGCATTTAATGATTCAGGCAATTAAATGTATGTGGGGGGGGGACTGGCAATTAGTTTTAAGAAATTCTAGCTGCTACACTTGCCAAATTAAGCATTAATAATAAAAATAATAATAGTAAATTATTTCTTTTGCAAAATCAAAAATTATCTCTACAAACTTTTGAAACTAAGTTGTTCCAATAGACCCCATCCGCTTACGGTTAAATCACGCTGAAACATCGGTTCTCGTTCGATCACCGGAGTTAAGCATCGTGAGAGCCAGGTCAGTACTTAGATGGGGACCGCTTGGGGAACACCTCGTACTGTAAGCCCCCAATTCCAACCCTTACCTCACAGTCGGGGGTAAACGGTAGTGTCAGAGCTATGCCGCCGAACTTCGTTCCTGGTAGGGCCACCCAAGGCGGACAGGTCTGACACACACGCCGGCTAACAAGGGCTCTGGTGAAAATCCAAGGAGCGTCTGCATCGGCAACTGGCGGCTTCTGGTCGTTCCTGTCTCTGCGTCTGTGGGAATCCCACGGCAAGCTTCTTCTCATAACAGGAAGAAGCTGGCTCAATCCGCCCAGGGTGAATGCCGCATCAGTAGTAAGTACAGTACAGTACCCCATCCATTGGATTGCTATTGTTTCTTGGGCAAAATAATTTGAAAAAAAAACAAAAAAACTAACTCTACCTAAGCCAATAGTCATGTGTTTGATTGCATAAAGACTTATTTGCTGGTGGTCTTATATGAAGAGTACTTTTCAGAAACTATTATCATTGATGACAAGTTGGTGAGTTGGGTTTCCTTATAAATAAAATTAAGTAAACTGTCAGAAATAGAGAAAAGATCACCAGATGGAAGAAATCCCTGCACATACAAGAAATACATAGGAAAGGCAGAAAGTAGTAGCTGTTAAGAATAGGCTACTAGATTATTACCTACAAATGTTAGACACCTGAATGAATAGACTTAGCTAAAGTTTCTCTCACATGAAGGTAAACTTGTTCTATCATCATCATCATAGTTCCAAATGAGCAATTCAAAGTTCAGATCATTGTATATCAGTGTCAAGCATTAGAATTTGATTAAGTTGGAATAATTTTCTGATTGATTTGTATATGTACATTTTTTTTCTGATAACATTAATAAGTGAATTGCTAAAAATGTTCACAATCATTGTAGGTTAGTAATTTGCCTCAGTCAGACAAAATGTGTAGTTGCTCTGCCTTTATTTGGAATAACTTTGGTCATTAGTAAATTTAAGGGTGTTTTTAAAAAGTGGTTTAACTAGAGCTGATTTCTCTAGAAAAAGTAATAAATGATAAGGACTGATAATTCATAGTTTATCAGATGGTACATGAAAATGTTTAGAAATGGCTAAGTCATAAATTCATTTTATTTCTTTTTCTAGTAATTTTTTTTTTTTACTTTAAATCTTGGATTGTTTCAATGTCTGTTGAGGACATAGGCTCTCTACACCTTCCTTTTTTGTAAACTGCAAATTGCCAGGATTGTTCCTGAGAAAGATGATGGAATGGTTTTCTCTTGTCTTCTCTATAGTTTTCAATTCAGTTTTCTTTTCTTAGATTGGTTACCATCCAAGGCTTGAGAACCCAGTTTGCTTTGCTATTTGACCTTTAACCGGGGGTAGAAGAGATGCATTCATCCCCCCACCCCCAGTCATTAATGCAAGGAGCAAGTAAACAATAAATTGTCTCAGTTGGAATTTGTACTTCTCACTTCTATTTCCATTGTTGTTAATCAACTTGTACCTCTTTACTGTTAATAGTGTCAGGTAAATTAGAGATCAGTAATGTCTCTAATTTCCTTAATTAGTCCAATTGCATTCCTTGAAGTGCCACGTTGTACAGATCTTATTTTTTATACATTGAATATCTAGTAACCAAATTTGATTTTAGATTGTTTTTCCTGCTTTAAATTAATGTTTTGTTTTTTTGTTTTTTACACAATGATATTCATCTTATACAAGGCCCAAGAAACTTGAGGTAAAGGATTATATAAGGAAAAGTCTTTAGAAGGAACCAGAGACCCAATGCTTAACCAGAAACTAGGGTAAAACCTCTACAACTGTTCAAAAGCCTGGGGAGGAGTGTGAATCGGGTGATAGGCAAACCTATCTACTCCTATTGATGAAAGAAAAAATAATTCAGCAGTAAATAAAAGTTCAGTATTTTAGATGGAGACATTAGCAGTGTACAGTTAAAGTAGACTTTAGAAAGAACCAGAAATCTAATCCTAAAACAGGAAACAAGGGAAAAACCTCTACTCCTGTTCAAAAGACTTGGGAGGAGTGAACCAGAGTTGTTGTTTCTTTTATTATCTCCTAAAAATAAAATTCTCAAGATAGAATTTTACAGTTATATTAGACTTTGTTTTAATCAGCAATTTAAATTATGCTACCATTGTACTCCATTGAGCTTAATGGCAAAATAGATGTTTATATTGTGAATGTTTAATAACACCTTTTTTTTCCTATATTACAGCCTCTGGCTTACTTGTTTTGGTGTATATTAAATATTTACATCACTAAATTTAATATTTCTTTTTTATTTCAGATGTACGTATATTATTGAATGATGACAATCTACTTAGAGAAGGAGCATCTGGGTAAGTTTCTTTGTAATTTTTTTATTTGTAATTTACTACATTATTAGCCAATTTATTTTATTCTTTAAATAAAAATCAAGTCAGTTTAGTAGCACTTTTAACACAGTTACTCAATTTTGATTCTTTTTTTTTTTTCTTTTTTTTCTCAGTCTAATTAGTGAACAGATGTATTCTGAAATATAAAATTTTACCTTTATTTCTGTTTGAATTTCTACAATGATGAGTTATCATTATTTCCATTTAGATTAATGTCCTTATATTTGTTATCATAATTTCAGCTGTTGTACCCACTAGCCTCCTTCAGTGGTCTGTCGATCTGGGTAACCTTTACAGAACATAGAACTGAATCTGTTCTTTACCCTATGGGGGTAAATTTTAGCTTTATAAGTTTTTACATAAAAAAAAATCTTGCCAAAAATTCTATTAAATATTCTTTTTTTAATTTATTGCATTGTCACTTATTAATTTTTGATTTGTATTTCTTATTTCTGTTACTTTTTATGTGGAACTTTCAGGCCATCATTCCCGGTTTGGATTTAAAATAAAAAAAAATGAGCCTCCTACAAAACTTGGGCTTTGTTATCTGATTGCTTCTTAATTCTGATTCAGATTGTCATTCTAAGGTTATTACTTAGCAATCTAAGATTTGCAATAAAAAGTAACTGAAGTATGATGAAAAAAAAATGAGTCAACTAGTCTAATGCAGTTAGACTACTCTCATGGTCTGGAACATTGTCAATCCTTAGTTTGTGGATCTGCCATTAGTTACTTTCACTTTCTAACCATAATTTGAACTCCAATTTTCATAGTTTATAAACAAGTCAATTAAATGCGTAAAAATGTAACTTTTTAAATTGAATCAAAACCTTCAATTTCATAACTTTCACTTTATTTTCATATAAAATTTTGTATATTTTCTTAATCTTCTAAAGTATTTTTAATACAATCACTTAAAAAAAATAATTTTTTATTATATAAATTAAAAATCTATTTTTCTCAATATTATAAAAATCTTTAAAAATTGATAAACTGTTAAAATTTATAATAGTATTAAAAAAATTAATTGGCATTTTTGTTTTCTGGAATTCTATGTGATCTATCAAGTCAGATCATAAGATTGCTGGATTAAAGAAGTCCAACATGTAATACCTAACAATACTTCATCCAATAATAAATTTTAAAGAAATATTATTACTAATAAAGCTAGTGTATTATTTGTATTATTTACATTCAGACTAATGTCCTCATCAATGTGTTTAACATATGATAAGAAAGAGAGTATTAGTCTGAATTTAAATAATAACTCTTTATCCCAGAAAATGGCTAGTGTATATAAATGGATAGATTTGATCTTTTGTTACTGGTAATACTTACGGCCTTAATCAGTAAGGCAGATGTTATATGCAATCAGGCCTCCCATAGGAAAAGGGATGGAAGTTTGAATGTTGCCAAATTCTTTATTTCCAATTGGTACTATATACTAACAGCTGTAGAATGACTGTTTGAGAATTAAAATGAGAAGGAAGTTGAAAGAAAAAAATTAATAATTCTAAGAAATGTTTAACATTTTTGTAATCTATTTTAACCTTGTGTTGAAATGTTGATTAAATGTGTTGTTGCTTGCCACCAGTAACCAAGTACCTATTTAAAAAGATTAAACCATTTAAAGTCAAGTTTTGATATTTACTGTTCAATGTATTGTGGGAATTACTCATTAACCATAACTGATTTTTAATACCAGGACTGGAATTATACAGTAAATGCTAGTAAACTTCTTTTTTTCTTTTTTCTTTTCTTTTTTTTTTTCTTAGAATGTATATTTGTAAAAACTAAACAGATTAAACTTTACACTATTTACATTGTTCGGACTTTTGTCCTCATCTTTATCATATTCGTGTTTCAACTGTTGTACGCTCCAACTTCCTTCAAATGATATACGTTGGAATTTTGAACTAAACCCTTTATTGGGGTAGATTGTTCTAGTTCCCTGCCTTTTCTGGGTATCACGGTTAATTCCTTTTGTTTTGCTGTGGCAACATATTGAACTTGCATCTCTTTGGGTCACATCACTAGATTACTTCAACCAATCTTAGTATCCACTGGGCTATGTGTGAATTAATTTTTTAGGACTTATAAACTTGATGTCTCAGTTATCATTTTTTACCAGAGCTCATATAAAAAAAAAAATTTTTTTTTTTTTTTTTAGGACTTTGTATTACTGGTTCCCATGTCTATGTTTGGCAGGCTTAGGTTTTTTTGTGGCCTAGTATATGCACTGATTTCTTTAAAAAGCCAGAGTATACGATGACCAAAACAGTTACAATACCTCATTTCAGAAATATAGACAGATGTCAGTAACTTTGTCATTATAAATCCTTTTTGATATAGAATTCAAAATGCCAAAAAACATTCACATGTGACCAATGTATTATTTCGTATTTTAAATTTCAGATTTTTTCTTTTCTGAAATACTCAACATCTGTAGGCTGTTAATTACCTGATTAATTGAACAAATTGTTCAATTAACCTTGTTTTAATTATTCTCATGTGATAGCTAAGTTTTTCTTTTTCTTTTTTTTTCTTTCTCTCAGCATAGATAAGTGAACCCTTGTACAGTTTCCAAGTGTTTGACATTTTCCTCTCTTAATACTTTTGGATTTAATTCTTATGTCAATATTTTGGTGGCTATTCAAAATAATTAAAAAAAAAAAAAAAAAAAATATTATTTAGATTTTTTTTTTATAGTAATTAATTACTTTAGTTTTGGTAGTACATACACTTTTGGGAATGTGTTTATCATTAGAGATTATGGTTGAAGTGATAAGAATCTTGAACATTTTCATTTGAGAGAATAGATAGTTTTTAATTTTTGCTTCTATTATCTCTTTGTCTAGCTCATTTCTATATTTACATACAATGAAATGATTTTGAAAAAGGCCAGTCTACTATATAGGATCATTTGAAAAGGAAAAATTTCAAGATTTTGGCATGTACAGTCTCATAAAAAAGTAGTTATTGGTTTGATTTTTTTTTTTTTTTTTTTTGTTACATGGAACTTCATTGTTGGGACACTCAAATTTATATATTTGTTATGGTGGGGGACAGGGGCCTTAGTAAAGGGAGAGAAAAAAAACTACAAAAAGCCACAGCAGATGGAAAGTTATGTAGGGCCACGGTTGCATATGACCAGAAAGGACATGGTACAGATAAAAAAGAACACTGATCCAGTCTTTAGAACTTATCAGGAGTACCCTGTAATTAAATAAGGATTTTTGTCTTGTATGTTGAATATATCAATGGCTTGTAATGCTGTAGTCTCTAGAACAGTGGTTCTAAAGCTTTTTTGCCCAATGCATCCTTTTCACCATAAGTCTAGAATGTCATCCCCCTCCACTTTCCAAGGTTGTCCAACTCAAAAGCTGCATTCCAAATAATATGCATAAAATCTTCATTCTTTTCCACATTAGTGCATATACATTTACATTATTTTTATACAATTTTTTTTTTTTTTTTTTTACTCCAAATTCTGTAAATAAAAAAAATAAAAAAAAAAAAGGTAAAAGATCCCCCTCCCTGCTCTTGAAAAAAAAAAAACCTGCTCCAGAATTTCATTGTTTATTCAGTGTGAGCTCTTTCTTATTACCTACTTACTTTTATTGTTTTTGTAACTTAGTCAAATGTACAACCGATTTCATTTGTGTGAATGGTAAGATATCTAACAAGGATGTGAACAAAATGTCTGTTTAAAAAAAACTAGTTATTGAATCTAAAATACAGAACAGGGATAAATAAGTACAATATTAATTTCTGGAAAAACTTTTTCTTTTAAACACCTTGGATTTAAGTTACCTTTCATTTTCAAAGATCTACAAATATTACTGATTAATCACATTTTTGACTTTTCTTCTGTAGACTTTATTTTTGATTCAATGAGTATTTTCATTAAGGAATACCAACAAGCATTATGTCCGTCACCAGAGTGTTTTGTGGAGGAGGGTTTAAGTCTGTGTGGGGATGGGCTGCAAGTATGAATTTGAACATTAAAATTAGTTCACATTTTCACAAAGGTTTAGGCAAATATTTGAACCATTGATTAAAATGTTGGTGTACATTTAAAAGTTTGGAACATTATTGAATTACTATTAAAACATATCTAACAATCGCTAAAGATTAAAATAATAATTGTTAGTTTTTTTTTTTCTTGAATATTAAATCCAAATCATATAGGTATTAACTTGTTTATTCAAAACCAAATATCAGGTCTACTAAAATACTTATGACATTAGCATTTCTTTTCATTAGCTTTATCAAGCTTTGACTGTTTTATTGCCTCCTTAGATATGACTTTATTTTAATTTTGTTAGTTTCTAATGTCAATTAAAAGGGGAAATATTGTTTAAGCAAATATAATCGTGTAAATATTTACAGAAAAAGGAATCCATTTCAACAATAACAAGTCGGCTTTCCAAAGTTATATATCCTGAAAGAATAAATATTTCATATAACAAATCTGGAGGATGAACATTTTGCACTACCTGGATGCAAGACATTTTAAATATGTCTATATTTTAGTGGATAAAAGCATTGGTTGAAGTAATCCAATGACTTAGCCCAAAGAGTTGTGAGTTCAGTACCTGTCCATAGCCACAGCAAAGGTGAACAAAATAACTTGCAGAGTTGAGTTACTAAAGGGAGATAACTGAAACTGAGATATCTAGAAAAGGCATGGCATGTGGAACTAGAACAGTCTACTCCAGAAGACAAAATAAATGTTTTAATTCGAAATTCTAACATATATCACATGAAAAAGGTCAAAGTGTATAATGAAAGTATTTCTTTATGATGAATTCTCTTAACTTGATCTGTGTATCAGATTTGCATATGACTGTTTATAGCTTAACTAAGAAGACTATTTTAGATTCTATTATACAAGTTGATATTTTCACAATGATATTGGTATTAACCAACTGATTTATATAAGCAATATATTGTGTGACTTTTAACTATCAATATTCTTATTAAAATATTGATAACTTGTTTTTGAGGTACCTGGTATTATTATGCAAAATTCAATGTAAATTTTTATTTATAAATAAATACAATATGGCATATAAACATATGTGATTAAATGTTCCATGTATCTGAATAAATATTTTTACAGTATTAATATGGCCTCAATGATTGATAGCTTTTGTGATTCTTTCACTCATTGATTTTCTTAAGTTTTCTATTATTTCAGCTTTAACATTTCTGGCGTTAGTTGCTGTTCATGGCTTGAATATTATTTTCCATTCATCATATTTAATAATGGACCAAAAGTTTTTCTATTAGATTAATTTGTTGTCTTTGAAAACTTTTTTGGAAAAGTAGCCACTATTAAACTTTGTAGAATCAGGAGCAGCATTATTTTTGTATGTATATATTTAATTTATAGTGTCTTGATTGTGACCTGTACCACTGAAAACAAAAGAAAAATGTTAGAAAATACAATAATTCTTTGTATTATATCTTGATATAATAAACTATGAAAGAACTTATAATTTTACTGCATATAATATTAGCCTAAAATATTATTCTTTCTTCCCTGTTGTCTTCTAAGTTGTGTTGGCCAACTATTTCCATGGTCCTAATAATAAGATATTAGAAATGTTCTCTTGAATGTTTTAATATCTTGACTCTACTTGGAAAACAAATTTTTACCATTTCAATGTTTTTTTTTTGTTTTTCTTTTCTGTTGTACACATGTAGATTCTTGTGAGTTATTTTAAATTATTTTGGATATAGTTATAAAATGGAAAAATATATGCATAAACAAACTTGCAATATTGATTTTTAGCATTCCAATCAGTGTACAGCCTAATAAAAAAAAACTAAAAAAAAAAAACTCTGTTCATAGTATATTTGTATTTTATTTGCAGAGCATTTGCCCAATACAATAAAGACCAATTTACGCCATGTAGAATAGAGGGCACTGAAGAACAGGTGAGACTTTTTTTTTTTTTTTTTTTTTTTTTTTGTTCTTTATTTACCTTTATTGATACATCAATGTATTTTGATTCTGTTCTTCTTGGCTATCAGTATTTTAAAATCTAAAGGATTGAAGTAATTCCTCCAAAACCTATTCATAGATAATCAATATTTGCTTAATAAACAAGTGCGGTTAATTTTAACATTTTTGTTTATTATCCTATATGAAACACCTAACTACATTAACAACCTTTCCTTTTCTTTTCTTTTCTTTTTTTTTCTTTTTTTTTAAATATTGATCATCGGTTATTATCTTGTCTATTTCTTTCTCTCTATATAATACCTGCTTACATCTGGTATTAGCCCACATTTCTATTTGTGGAATCATAGGACAATTAGAATACAATTGATACAAGCATCAATCAACAGGTTCATAGCCTAACACCGTCATTAGTTGAATTTTGATCTGAAATTTCCACTGTATAATGTTCAGTCTTTGTGATTAATGTTTACCAAAGAATTGACAGTATTGAAAAGGAAGGAGATTTATGTTGAAAAATGAATATTTGTATATATATATATATATATATATATATATCCTCCCCGCATCATTATGCTACAGGTTTATTACCATTATCTATATAATGAGTTTCACTTTGGTGCAATATCACCAACATGGAGGACTCAATGAGGATTGACTTGTTACTTTATACTAATGGCGAGCATAACTAGCTTATAAAACATTACATCATTGCAAGGTACCCACAGTAAAGCTAGCAGAGCCAATGACTGATTTTTGAATTTAACAATAATCTAATTCATATAAAGTTATTCACGTTAATGCTAACTAACCTTGTATTTATTGAAAAATGACAAGATTATTTATGTATAGATCAGCATTTCTCAACCAGTGTGCCCAAACACACTAATGCACCCTGAAATGTAGCCAGGTGTGCCCCAAGTTAACAGAAAAGTAATTATGAATTATTTTTATATTTAAAACTTTATTTTTTAAAAGCTAAAGATGCCAAGCAGTGAAATGTCTTAAAATAAATACTTATTTCAAGAGACTTCTTATTATTTCCTATTTTCAAAATTCATGGCTAATTTTTCCTTATTAAAATTTAAAGTGTGCCCCAGAGTTTTAGTTATTCTACAGGTACAAAACATGAAACAAAAATGTTTAAGAAATACTGGTATAGATCATCACTTCTACCAGGGATCATTTTTAAACAGAATTGGTAAAAGCAAGGAGCAAAAGGGAAAAGAAAGTGTGTAGGAGGAATGGTAGAAGGTCAGTGTTAAATAGAAAAGAAAGGCAAGGGAAAGTAATGTGGGAAGAGATGGAAACAAAAGAAAGATATAGATAGAATTGCTACCTTAACTTTTTATTACATTTAATGTGAGTAGAGCTTTATTTAATACTTTTTTCTTTTTACACTTTACATAAGTAAATATTAATATATAGAAGATTGTAAAGGGATTGAATTTTAGCTGACTAAGTATATTGACGGTCTGTAGAATCTTTTCGACTTTTTCTAAAATCATGTTTTTCAGATTGGGCATTTATTGTTTCCCTAATTAAGAAAAGTTACTTCCATGGAATATATAAAATTATTGCAACTTAATATGGTCATTTAATATATTGTATCCCAATTCTCTCACTTTGGCTAAGGCTGTAAGGGCAGTATAAGTTGGAGGAGAATGATGGCCACAGTCACACAAAATGTGCTAACGAAATAATGATTCTATCCCTAATGCTTGTTTTTAATTTCTATCACTGCCAACAATCTCTTGCACACACGTGTGTGTGTGTATATATATATATATATATATATATATATATATATATATATATATATGGGGGACGATTAACCAGAATTGAGAATCGGAAATATCAGAACTTTTAGGAGTATTGGAATCGGAGAATTTTTAGCCTAATTTCCAATTCCAAAAACAATTCTTGGTTTTTTTTTGTTTTTTTTTTAATTTTCCATGCCTGGTACTAATGATAAAAAGTTTTGGCCGAACACATGGCCCAGTTGATAAAGGTGTTGGTTGCTTGATTAAAAGTGATTTGATCTAAAGAGTTGTGAGTTGGCCACAGCAGAGAGAATAAAAACTTTAAGTGTTGAGTTATCAAGGGAAATTGACTAAAACCGAGATATCCAAAGGCATGACCCATGAAATTAGAACAATCTAACCCTGCAGACTAAATAACAGGTTCACTTCAATGCAAACAATGTAAATAGCAGAAAAAGACAGGAAGTTATGGAAAACCATGATGAAAGGACATATCATATAGAAGAAGGGCTCTCTACCTCAGTATCAGATTTGTACTTATATATATATGTGTGTGTGTGTGTGTGTGTACAAGTAATTATTTCAAGATTATTAGTGATAATATTGGAAACAATTCTGTAAATATTTTTAAGTCTAGTTTATAACTGAAGCCTCCCACCCCCAAATTCTTCATAATGAATTATTGTATGAAATATTTCAAATTAACATCTTTCTTACACTATTTGGAAACAAAAGTTTCATGAAGCAAATTGCTAATTTTTTATTTTTTTGCTTTTTATTGCTGACCTGCTACTATCAGTCACAATAACCTGTCTCGGTTGTCATCATTTCTGTAGTCAGCTGACATTGACTTGAATGGAGTGACAGAATGCAGTTTGGTGCACTCATATTGGACTGGCTGCCTCTCCATTAGCTGCTCTTAAGTCTTTTAAATGCAGATTTAGAAAAACTGCAATGATTTTTATCAAAATAAAAATGGTTTATATTTTATGAAAGGAAAACAGAAAACTGGAATAGACAGCCGAAATGTTGAGTGTAAAAAACATTTTAATCTGACACTACTTTGGATGGAGCTGTATGGAATACATTATTTGATGATCACAGATATTTATGCGTATGTTATGGACAACACTTCCCAAGTGCGTTCTTGTAAATTTTTTTTGTCTCTCTCTCTATCTCTCTATCTCTTTTTGTTATAAATTTTTATTTTGGATTCAATGATTTGGGATTTTACTTGAAAATTCAAAGTTTTACAAGAGTTTGAAAAAGGATAATATTAGTAAAAAAAAAAAATTAATTTTGTTAACATATGAAAAGAGGCCCAGCTTTTTAATTTAAGTAAATCAAAATCAATTAATTGTAAAAATACCAAAAATTTTTCTTTTAAAATATTTAAAGAAAGATTTTATAAAAGCAAAAGAAAATGGTTCGCATTTCTGATCCACATGAATTTCTTGATTTTTGAAGAAACACAATCACATATATTTAAAAAGGAGAAGTTGGTTAATACAAATGATGAATGGTGGGTGGATGTTATAGATTGTTCTTATAATGTTTTCTATTGTCATTTGCTATTTAAAAATTCATTTTGTTTCCTATAACAATACATTAATTTCCTCCCTACCTTCCTGTAATTATAATAAGATTTCATTTGAAATCACTCATGTGATATTTTGATGTGATGAATGTGTCACTTACATTTCAGTTTTCAGGGTTGTCTTTTTTTTTTTTTTTTTTTTTTTGTGTGTGTAAGCCCATACACACACACACACACACCACCACCACCACTATAAATATTTCTCTACTAGGAAAAATTATTGGTTTAAAAATGTGCCATGGCCATCATTTTTCAGTTGTTGCAAACAACTGGTTCTTTTCATTATTATCATGCCTTCTTGTTAAATTCTAAATATAATAAAATTCTTATTTTCCACCCATTCATTCATTCATCATTGTTTAAACAACTGCTTTTGTAACAGACCAATTTCATTTCTATACAGGGAAATGATATATATATATATATATATATATATATATATATATATATATATTTCTCTGCAGTTACTTCTCATGCTGTTATGAAATTTAAATATAAGAAAAAGATGAATAACTATTTTGGTAATATTTATTTGATGGATATAAAAAAATCTTTTTGATTTAAAAAGAAAAAAGTATAAATCTTGTATAATCTTTCTGGAGTTAGAAAATAATTTACAGAAATTTTTTTTTTTTTTTTTTTTCCTGAATCGCGTTCATTTACTTAAAAACCACCAAGACCAGGGCATAGTGTTTGTGGTTGCATGACAATCTTCATATTCTTTTAATTTAGAAACTTCTAAAATTATAAACAAAATGGTTGTGGTGAAGTAAAATAAGCAGAAAAATTTCTAAGACATGGTAAGTTCATAGTTCCATAAGAATTTGAAAATTTGTAGGATGTTTCAGTTCCTATATTGATAACTATATACAAATGTGGAATTTTCTATTACAGTAGTATTTGTGTGTTTGTTTTTTTTAATCCTAATTATTCACTTAATACAAGGCACATGAACCACTTAGGATAGGTTACTGATTGAGGTTGATTGATATATGAGGAAGGGATAAGATATTTAGGAAGAGTAATGGTTAATCCTATTCTTGAAGGGATTATGATTGGGGAATCACCCTCTTGGATGTCTGCTCCACAAAGCAGCAGTTCTTTGGAAGAAGCTGTCCAAATGGAACTTGATCATTACTAATGGGATACAAAAGGGATGAGTACTTCCAGTGTACATGTCAGGTCTTAACTGTGACACTCTGGTGGAACTATGGAATGTAGCTCATCAGAACATTTGGTATGGAAATGGTTAGAGGCTTATGATAAAATTCATTTTAATCACACACACACAACTAAAAATGTATTATTACCATGAAACATTTTCGGATGCTCAAAACCCTTCTCAAACTGATATGGTAATTTACACCATGAAAGAGCATTAATACAATATCTCTTTAGTATCAGACAGAAAATATACAATATATTTATATGATGTTAGGCACTGTTCACTTTTATGCTTGTATTTCAGTCTATCTTAGACTCTCATATGGGTCAGGAAATAATCAATATACATTGATAATTTTTATATAGTTTGATTGATGTTAGCTATTTAGAGTACTTATTAAGATAGACAAAAGGAAGATGAAAAATTTAATTTAAAATTGAAACTAGTATTTACAACTGCACTCATCTACATACTACTAATTATAATTGTGTCAAAATGAATTTGTCTGTTTTGGTTCCTGGAAAAAATGGTATTGAGTTCTAAACTATATGACTCCGTAGACTTTTGGATGAAAATAACCAGCATCTTATATACATATGATTACAGTATTTTATATATAATATCTATTATATTTCCAAAGATATCTATTTGCTAGAGAACACATTACATTTCATTGTTTTTCATCTCAACAAATCTTGTTTTCAGTAATGTTGAGAAAACTGAAGAACAATGCAAGATTGTCAGTATAAACTCTTTGAATTTTAAGATGGGAATGGTTCCCTTTATACCAAAGCACATTTCTTTTTTTCTTTACTTTGTTCAATATTTTCACTTGTAATATTTCTGTTTCATTTATTAAAATAGACAAAATTTTCCTGTTTCTTTTTCATTTCAGGTATTGATTACTGAATATGGAGATTTAGTTGCAGGAAGATTTCTAGATCCTCGAACAAAAACTACTTTTAAGTGAGTTTTTTTTTTTTTTTTTTTCATCTCCTTTGTATGCAATATTTTACTTTTATCTCAATTATTTAACCTTTAGCACTCTGCAATATTAAGATTATTTCCTTTTCTATTCTTTTTCAAGGCCTCAATTGCAGTATCCTTATTGTTAATTTCACTCAAAATTGTTTTCTGTTGCCATAGCAGAATATGACAACACAACAATGAAATTCAAATACACTGTTGTTCAGGGATCAGTCACCTTTAGTATCAGGATAAGTTCTTTTTATACAGCAAAAGTAGTCCCAGAATGATAAAGGTTAAACACAGATGTCAAAATATAAAATAACAGGATATTTCAATGAAATATTCACAAATTTCAGGATTTGTTGAGATAGTAAAGAAATTAAAAAAAAATGTAAACTTTAAGGTATTTGAAATGTTCAGGGAAAACTCTATTTCAAGAAGAAAAAAAATCTGTTAGGAATTTCAGGTGACATAAGCTTGGATGTGTGGGTGGTGTAATGGATAATGCCTTGGAATTGTTAATCAGAGAGCCAAGTTCCAATTTCAGTTGGATTCATTATCTTCACTTATGTGCAAATACCCTTGGAAAAAGTATGAATTCACCTCTTCTCCCTCGCAAGTTAATTAGTAGGCCTTTTATTGCTAAATCATTAGCTAAAAAAAAAAAAATTCTTACAACCTAAAAAAATATTTTCTGGCTTTAAATAACCTGCATAGGGTTGATAAACCATAGAAAATGAATGAATGAATCAAAAGATTTGATCAGCTGGTACATTTGAAATAATTTTTTTTTTTTTTTTTTTTTTTTACAATATTAGCTGTTAAATAGTAAAAACATTCTTTCAACAAACAACCTATAAATTATTTTGGTTAAAATTATGCAAATCAGTGTTTGTTGATCTAAAGGCATCATGTACAGTATTTTAAGAATAAGTAAATTACTTAACTATAAAATATGAACTTCTGATGAAACTGCAACTTTAAATTTCACTTGTACTTGTTTTATTTATTTTATTGCTGACTGGATGAAATAAAAAAAAAAAAACTGTAATATACAAAAATCTTAAGATTTCATGAACTAAATGCATGTAAATCTTCTATTGCTACAATATGAAATTTGGTATAAATCAGGGATAAAATGTCATGAATTGGAAAATTAACATCAGACATCAAGATATTATAAAGAAATAAGAATAAGTGTGTCAAAAAGCATCCATAGCCTTAACAATTTTTTTGATAATTATATTAATGGATATATGTTGGGCATTTCAAAAATATTCTGTAACCTCATACAAGAAATTCCACATTTACCTTCTTGGCAATCTCTCATTTTATGTCCAAACAATGCAGAGCCAACATATTTTGCTATGCCAAATGTTGCTATCTGCCTGATGCCTCGTGGTACATAAGGCCTTTTGGTGAGGCTTCTATAATTGAATTGTTCCATGGAGTTGTGTGATTGAGCACGTTTGTACTCTGTGGTAGGCTTGGTTTCCTGTTGGTGGTTTTCCTTCCCTTAAACCACCATGTGTTCCAACACTAACAAATTTCATCTATCCAGGTTTAGGAATTCAGTTTTCATTCTAGGGTAGTTTTCTACCAAGGCTGAAAAGCCCAGTCTACTATTTAGCCCATAGCTTTGTGGGGAGAACAAATGGATTCATATCTTTCTTAAGGGTATTTTTGTGAAAGCAGATGTAACAAACATGACATGAATTTGAACTCTGCTTGTCAATTATTTATTCTAACCATTACAGCACCTGCACATCCATGCCAGGTCATGTCAAAAACCAAAGCCAAATTCTGGAAGTCAGCTATAGCATTGTGGAAGAACTCAAAAGAAATGACTAGTAGTTCAATTTCCCAATAAGCTTGGTTCAGTACTATTGTTTAAAATTCTTAATTTCACTCCAATCATGGCAATAAAGCCACTAAGATGTAAGGGGTTATTGTGTATGAAAGAATGAGAAAAAAAACTTTATTAAGGAGAAAGAACAATAAAAAAAAATTAAGGAGACAGATGATGATGATGATGATTGCCATTGCATTTAAATTTTTGGAAATGATTCAAGCTGAATGTCAGGTCAGGACTGATAACATTGCAGATTCTTTTGGGATTTTATCAAGAATCTATAAATACATAACAAGCACCAGACTGTTTATGACAGCATTCTTCAATCCATGGACAAATGGTAGACTTATAAATAAAGATAGATGCTGGTGAGAAAAATTGTCTAGCATGACACTGAATCAACTTTCCTAGCAGCAGACCTGACAATTGATTCAATATAATCTTTCTACTTTATGTTGGTGGAAAACATTAGTTCAAGAAGGTGCAATGAGTTACTCTCATGTTGATTAGCATCAACTATGCTCATAGAAGACAAAAAAGGTTCTCTAAGATGATTAAAAAGGAGCAGTTTTGTTTTGGAGGTGTTAAAATTAACAATGTATTTCTTGCTCCAGTTAACAGATTGAAGGTCATTTTTGAGATCAGTTGCCAATTTGACTTGAACATATCAGACTTAATAAGACAGGAGTAAATAGTTATCAGCATAGATACCGAGTTATATAATTGATGACATTGGAAAAGCCATTGATGAAAATTAGGAACAAAGCAAGCCCAAGGATAGATCTGTAAGATGATCTAGAAAAGTGGCATCATTCAGAAAGGCGGTGGGGGGGGAGGTTGGACTATTGTAAATCAACTAAAATCCAATGTTACAAGAAAGACGCTAAAATGTAGCTGCTAAAAGTTTGTTTAAATGGTCAACCAAGAATTACTTTAGTTGGTCAATGACCTGAGCTTAGCCAGTACAATTTTAACACACCAGACAATGTGTGACAGCTTTTTGCTGTAAGAGGGGATACAAAATTGCCAATATTGTTGAATACCACTAATGAATAAAATGCATGTTGAGGCATACATTAAGTTAACCAATAAGAATATATGTACAAAGATGCTTTTTCAACAATAATTTGTGGTTAGATGAAACCAAAGTCAACCTATTTGGCAATAATTTATAATAATAATAATAATAATAAATAGGATGTTTTTCTTCTTTGAGTGTAAGGAATATTCAAATCATCAAAGGAATTATGAACTCTGTCAAGTATTGTGCAATTCAGAAAAGACCTTTCATAATGTCTGCCAGAAAACTCAACATGAAGTGATGATTGTTGTTTCAAAATCTAACTAATTAATCTGAGGGGGTAATTATTTCGTTCCTTGCATTTCAAACTTGGGATATTTCAAATTTCATACTTACATAAATTTACATGCTTTTATTTGATGAAAGAATAAATTTTTCTATGCTAGATACTTATGACTTATTACATATGTGAATATATTTCTAAATTTAAACATTTGTAATATCAGTGAAAAAATATTTTAAAAAAGGAAGGTATACTTGTTTTGAATTAAATGAAATTAGATAAAACATTTCATTTAAATGAATATATGATAAAAATACATTTAGTTAAGTCTAAAAATTCATGGCTGTCTTTCAGGAGGGCAACACAACCAAATGAAAGCTATGTACATGTAAATAAGAGTTACTTCCCTTGATACCCTTGCTTTTTATTTTTAAATTTAAATATAGGAATTATTTTGTACTTTCTCTGAGTACATCATAATTAAATTAATATTTACCTTTTAGTCAAATGTAAGTTATCTAAAACAAAATACAGTGGTCTCCCCTTATCCTTGGTTGACATTCAATCAACTGTGGAAATAATGCATATATATATATATATATATAAGGAAATTACAAATGTAACAAACCTTGTTGCTTAGTTTGCAAACACTTAATAATAGATAATGTATTTTCTGTACCCAACACCAATATCAAGATACACCCACCTCACCTCACCTGTGATAGCCATAACATAATCTACTACTTATTCTGCACCTTTTATCCTAATAGTGGATATATTGGTGAATCTGGAAATAATTTTAGATTTTGCTTCAACAATCATAAACAAACCACACGTCAAAACAATCCTTATTCCCCCATAGCTGAAAACTTTAATCAATCAGGACACTCATTAGAAAACTGTAAATGTTTATTGATAGATTCTGATTTCGGTTCCACATACAAATGCAGAAAAAAAGAAAAATACTGGATTTTAAAATTAAATACATATAAACTAGGGTTAAATAAAGACTTGGGTATTTTAAATCTTTATAAATATTTCAATAGTTAAACATGTTTTTAGATATAGTTAAAAAAAATTTTTTAATGTTTTTAAACAACATCTAAAATATTATTACAGTTAGATTTACGTTAAGAATATTCAAACACAGTGGCGTTCCATATCACGTGACGTCCGCATCTCATGACAGACGCTACTTGTAAACAGTTATTTCTGAAGAAAGATTGAGGGCGATCTGAAATATCAAAATATATATATATATATATATATATATATATATATAAAATACTTTCGTAAAAAAAACTTTATTTTTTTTTAAATTTGCAACTTTTATATATATATATATATATATATATATATATATATACACACACACACACACACACACACTAGCAGGCTTTGCAAAGTAAGATCTATTCACTACTTGAAATCTTTGAAACAAAATTTTAAATGCCAATTTCATTCATAAATTGGCTTGTTATAGTTAAGGATAGTTTTATAAATGCCAACTTCCTTAATGCAAATTTTGAACACTTTTCTGCACTATATAAGACAATATTCCTAAACAGAGCTATTTTTGATATGAAAATCAAAACAATCCTTGAATAAAATAACAGTAATGAAGGACAGTTAATTAATGAAATAAACCTTTTGAAAATCAATATGCAAATTAGTTAAATCTGAAGAGTGATATTAGTTAGAAATAGATAATATATAATACAGATGTTGAGCTTTTAGTTTGTAAATTCCTTTCAAGGAGTTTGTAACACATCTATTTATCATCTCTCAGTTGTCTCTGTCAAAGGACAGAGTTGCAGTTGCAACTGAGGAAAATTATACTGAGAGGAGCCCAGCCCTGGAGAATAGCTGCCCAAGGCCATGTCCTTTCATGTCACCAGAGGGAGGGATCAATGCTTGCACCGAGGCCAGCACAACTAGGGGCTGTGGGCAACTTTTGTTCCTTGCCTGGGTGTTTGCACTCTGGTACCCACCTTAAAAAAGGCTTTGTGTCATATCTTGTCTTGGTGGTGAGACGGTAAATACCGTATTTATTACTCTAAAGTGTGGAAATTAAACCCCAATTTCACATTTATTCATACAGATTCCATAATATAGGTTTTACTTAATTAGCTATTATGTTTCTCTAACTCTTCAAATGTTGAATGTATAACTAATTCTAATTTCTATTTTCCCATCTTTACATTGTTTTAATTTTATCTTTATAGATTGTCCCCTGTGCTCACCCATGAAATAAAAATACCTTCTCTGCTCCGCTCTATCACTTTACATTTCACAATAACCTGACTGGAACCTGTACAGTTGTGGCAATTATATAACTATTATGTTGAAAGTTTAATTTTGAATAGGTCTTTCTTTTTTCATTTTGTTGTGTTTGGATGCCATGAATAGTTATTTACATGTAAGTAAAATCATGATGTAATCTGTAGGTAGAAAGATCTTTGTATGTATATAGATAAAAAAAAAAAAAAAAAAAAATTGATAGATTTTTAATAAATCCTGTAGTGATTTACAGTTAGTGTAATAATAAAATGAATTTCTTTCTAATTTTAAATTTTCAGATATGATCATTTGCGGAAAGAAGCCAGTGACTTGCAACCAGCTGAAATTGATAAAGTTGCTGAGCCCTGGCGAGCTGCTGTTGAAGCAGCTTTTACTCCCTATGTACATAACCACTATAAACATGGTGTGACTTCTGTCTATGGCACCAGTAATGATGCTAACATAACTATTATTGCTTGTATTGAAAGCCATCAGTTCCAGCCAAAGAACTTCTGGTAAGCTGTTGTTTTTGTTTTTTTTTTTATATCATAAGGTAAAGCAATAAAGCCATCAAGATGTAAGGGGTTACTGAATGAAAAAGAATATGACAAAAAAATCTTTATTAAAGAATAGGAATTAAGGAGACAGTTTGAGAGAATATAAATCAAAGAAAACCTTAAGGAGAAAGAAGAATAAAAGAATAGGAATTAAGAGAGAAGAGAACGATTGACATTGCATTTTAATTTTTGAACATTATGGTTGTGTACAAAGCAAGAAGCTAGAAAAAAAGTTCCACAAGCAATAAGTTTGAAAGAAGAAACTATTAGAATACAACTTATGGTTACATCTAACAATTTCAACTGTAAAAGTACATGTAACAATTTCAACTTGCTACCAATCTATTACTGTGCTTAAGTCGAGGTACCTAAGAGGAAAACTCATCAGAAAACTTAATTTGAAAATATTTATATAAAAGGCATGGGAAACTTATGTTTTTTTTTTTTTTTTTTTTTTTTTTTTTTTTTCCTTTTTTTTTTTTCTTTTTCTCCTCTTTTTTTTTTTCTTTTCTCCTTTTTTTTTTTTTTTTCTCCTTTTTTTTTCCTTTTTTTTTTTCTCTTTCTCCTCTTTTTTTTTCTTTTCTCCTCTTTTTTTCTCTCTTTTTCTTCTCTCTTTTCTTCTCTTTTTTCTTCTCTCTTTTCTTCTCTCTTATCCTCGCCTTCTCTTTTCTTCTCTCTTATCCTCGCCTTCTCTTTTCTTCTCTCTTTTCTCTTTCTTTTTCTCTCTCTTTTTTTCTCTTTTTTTTTCTCTCTTTCTTTTCTCTCTTTCTTTTTTCTCTCTTTCTTTTTCTCTCTTTCTTTCTCTCTTTTTTTCTCTCTTTCTTTTTTTCTCTCTTTCTTTTTTCTCTCTTTCTTTTTTTCTCTCTTTTCTTTTTTTTCTCTCTTTTTTTTTTCTCTCTTTCTTTTTCTCTCTTTCTTTTTCTCTTTCTTTTTCTCTCTTTTTTTTCTCTCTTTTTTTTCTCTCTTTTTTTTCTCTCTTTTTTTTCTCTCTTTTTTTTCTCTCTTTCTTTTTTCTCTCTTTCTTTTTTCTCTTTCTTTTTTCTCTCTTTCTTTTTTCTCTCTTTCTTTTTTCTCTCTTTTTTTTCTCTCTTTCTTTTTTCTCTCTTTCTTTTTTCTCTCTCTCTCTCTCTCTCTTTTTCTCTCTTTTTCTCTCTCTCTCTCTCTCTCTTTTTCTCTCTCTCTCTCTTTTTCTCTTTTTTTTTAAATGGGGGTTGGGGGGATTCTATTTTAATTTCTATATTTATAACTAGAAATGATTTAACTCTAAGAAAATTTTCCAAAATTAAATTTTTTTTTTTTTTTTAATGATAGTAATAAAGTGTCACTGCTGACACTTTAGTTTGAACATAGATCACCATTGAGCAAACACAGGGGATCCCATTATTAAATTAAGTAGACCATATGATCATAGAGGAAATGTATAAGTAAGGAAGTTTTGTGACATCTAATTGATCACATTTCTACTCTATCCTCTATTCCTATTCAGATTGCTATTCTCTACTCTATTCACTATACTATTTCTCTATTCATATCATTACACTGATTACTATTCAAGCAAGTACTATTGGTGTGAGTGTTATTCAAAGGCATCTGACACCAGTATTGTTCAACGATGTTACTATAGTTGTATCAGCAATTATAAAGTCTCTACTACAACAAGCATTAAGAATTTGACAACAAGTATTTGTTGACATCACAAAACATAGCTTCTGTAGAATACACTTCACTAATATATAATGGCTGCTTCCCATTTCTGAATATACCCATCCACTAGTGTGGCTAGTTTATTCCCATTGAAGACTCCTGCTCAGGCACATTTGTACTGTTTCAGCACTCAGAGCCAACCTGTAGTTTATACAGTAGGTATGTTGAGCAGACCTTGGTTACTATTTCTGGTTCAGAGTTCATAATCTGGCATAATCAGTAGTTGAACAATGCCTTGATCACAATGATTGGTGACTTTATACTAGCACAGCCATCAACAGCTTCTGAACAGTTTTATCAAACCAATTTCACTTGAGTGGCTTTGTTCAACCTGTGGGTATGCTTTTCAGTCATTTTCCAGGAGTATCAGACACTAGGATCACCTCTAAGGCTTGATATAATAAAGTTGAGAGATTCAAACCCCGATCTTGTGTAACTGCCATGAAATTATTCTGTAAATTAAAGAGTTCTGTGCATTCTTTAATAAGAATGTTGACATTAAAGAATTGTTTGTCTTTTAGGCCAATTTCATCCAGACATTGTGCCAATATTCAAAAAAATGGTTTTCTTCTGAAAAAAGACAAAGTGAAAGCTTTGATAAGATTATGACTCAAATCTTGCTTATAAGATATCTTTTAAGGAACTTTCAATCCATATCTGCATATATAAAATGCAATGTTTATCTCTTTCTCTTCTCTCTCTCTCTGTTTCAGTAACACTTTTCACTACACTCTGATGCAAGACAAAACTGCTGAGTCAGCACTGTTTTTATCCTAGGCAGAGGGTAGAGAAATCCTAGAATGCTGATTCCTATTAAAAGGAAAAAAATGCCTCTAACATTTATAGATGAGATATTTTCTATTATTAAATCAAAACAAATTATTTTTTGTAGAATTAATATTTTAATCTACTAGTGTGATACTATGGATGCCCACATAGAAAGGAAAGAGGTGGTGTATCTTGGTGTTTCTTTTTGATGGGTCAGTGGATGGTTCCTTTTGAATTTCAGTCTTCTAAATGGCATCCACTTTAACCAACTGGTTAAATAAAGGGGTGGATGTGGAATTTTTAAGGATCATCTGGAAATAGGTTATATTCAGGTGTTTGTCTATATTAAGTCATGCTTGGGATCTGGGAGAGTTCTGGTCAGACCTTGGCAGGAGACAGACATATCGGTGTTGTGGTTCCAAAACCTCCATTTAGTATTACCAGACACTACATTGCGATGTGTAGATGGACCAGGAGTTGGTAGGAGGAATCACTGACTTAGCAGAAGTTATCCCAAGTATCATCTACCTACTCACCTAGACAAGCGAAGAAGACCTGAATAAAACCTTTTGCTTGGGTGAGGATTGCATTATATGTATGCACAATGAAGTTTACACTTTGCTTGTATATCTGTAAACATCTCCATATTATTAAATTGAAATAGGTTTACTTCTAGAAATGTAACTCATTGTTATCAGTTTTATAGTAAATATAAAAGACAATCTGGAAAGCTTATATATTTTCAGTCCTGTTGGATTATTTATGACCAATTTTATATAAAATCATATAAGTATCTCATATAACCAATTTACTAGGATGAAAGCTTAATGCTTTGATTTTGAAAAAAAATTTTTTTTTTTTTTTTTTTAATTTGAGTTTGTTAATGAATCTTAACTTGGTATCAGAGGATATTGTTAGCAAAAGTTAATTTCCATAACTTCTAATTTTGTTAGCATTTAAAAGTGCAAAGAATTAAAGAATTATTGTATTTAAAAATTATTTCTTAATCAATTCACCCCAAGCAAGACAATAATGCCACTAAAATGCAAGGAGCTACTAGGAGCAAAAGAAATGTGAAGACTTTAGGAGGGAATGGAAACCCAATCCTAAACAGGAAACCAAAGATAAAACTCTACTCCTGTTCAAAAGGCCAGGGAGGAGTGTGAACCAGACAATAGGCAAATGTATCTATTCCTATTATCTATGCAAGTAGTATTCCAGTCAGGTTCATTACATTTACTTACATGCAAATACCTCAGGAAAGGTATGAATTCATCTCTTTTCCCCCAAGCTATGGGTTGAATAGCAGGACAGACTAGACCCTATAGCCTTAGTTGGCAACCAGTCTACTGCAGAAAAATCTTCCACCTAGTGAATCATAAATTGGTCTGTAAATGAAAAATCCTTCCATGTAATCCTTTGTAACAACAGCTTGCTGCAGGAAAATCTTCTGTATAGTCAGTCATGAATTGAAAGATATGATCGCCCAAGCATATGGCATTTAACTGACTAACTAGATATCAGTGTGGAATGTTGGAATTGGTAAGTAGTCTGCTGCATTCACTTGCATGCTTTTTTTTTTTTTTTTTTTTTTGAGAAAAGTATACATCCGTCTCTTAATGTAACAATTAGAGATTAATATCAGTGTAGCCTGGGGTTTCTAGGCTTGAGTGGCCACCTCTCTGAGAAAAGGAAAACTTGGCATCTTTGCAGTTTGAAATTCTAACAGGTAACTCTACTACTTATCCCAAGAAGTCATGGCAATTTGCAGATAAATAAAAGGAATCTGGAGTCATGATTGCCTACATCCTGGAGGGACATATTTAAAAAATATGACACACACTGTTATAAAGCAAACAAATTGGTTGGTAAGTTTCATGCCTTCTCAGATGTAGAATTATTATTGTTTGTTTTATGGAACCTTTATAATGGAACAATCCTCGTTTAATTTTTATTGTTAAAGACTATTCATTTCTAAAAAAAATAAAATTATCTAAATTTTTATCATTGACATGTGTGAATCAGCTGCTAAAATTTTTATTAGGGAAGTGCTTTTGTATATCACTTTATATCATATTGGAGTAGAGATACTAAAAGTGTGTTTTATTTTAATATTATGGTTGCCTTTAACTCTTGTTTTACAAACTTTGGCAAAATGACTTATGAGGCTAGATTAATTTCTAAACTTTTAAAATTACATTATATGTAGATTCTTGGGTGACAAAGAATTTTATATTTTATTTTTTCTTGTTGAAATTTTGGTTGATTTCTTTATTCTAATACAGGAATGGGCGCTGGCGCTCTCAATGGACAGTAACATTTAATGAAAATGGAGGAAAAGTTGACTTAATAGGTTTACTTAAAGTTCAAGTAAGTAAAATTATTTTATTTCAGTCTTAGATTTAACATTAGTAAATTGACCTCACTTAATTATTTACTTTATAAAAACCAAGTTTTACTTTGTAAACTATGATGTATTATTATGTAGATATTCTTGTACCTACCTTAGATTTACAAGCTGGTATTTTTGTAACACTTGAAAGTAATTACCTCTTCTTTAATTATTAACCTTTTCATTAAATTATTTTTTATATACATTTTGAATTATATGTTTGACTTGTCTGACATAATTTATATGTCAGAATCTCTGGGATTATGTTGTTACCATTATTTACATTAAGACTAATATCACTCACATCTTTATCATTATTATTACCACATTTCAGCAGCTTTTTCCAAACGTCTGTCTACATAGGTAACCATAAGGCAATTTAAAATTGAACATTTTATTTAATCTACAGGTGTTTTTGTTTAGTACTACTCTGTTATTGCTCACCCTGTTTCTATTGAATCTATCTATACTACCTGGCCCAGGAATTGAACTCACAATTACTATGACACAAAATTCACAGACCAACACTTTAATCCATAATAGTTTCATAGATGAAAGCATTGGTTTGTGAAATTGGTGGCATAGTAATTGTACTCTGGGGTGGATAATACAGACTTAGACTCGTTGAAAACAAGACAAGGAACAACTGAGCAGTGCTTAAAAAAGTGGGGGGACACGATCTTCTAGACATGGACAATGGAATAAGAACCATTTTTCTCAGAGATTAAATAAAGAATTCAGTTTAAAGTTCCCAGAAGGTTACACTTGAAGGAGGCCGGAGGGCACAGTGGCTGAAATGGTGTGGCAACAACAAAGATGAAGACATTAGTCTGAATGCAAATATTGTCTGGCAAAACTTAATTTGTCCCCAATATTTATTTTTAAAAAGTATTGCCAATGCCCCTCCACCAAGGTTCTGGTGTATACCATAGTTATCAAAAATACCATAGTTTAGTTACCATTTTATTTATCCAAAATAGCTTTAACCATAAATTACCATAAACTGTATAACTGTATACATAACCATAGTTTAGTTATGATTTAAATTGGTATCCAAAATACCATAGTTTATTAATCTTTTTAAATCTGCAACTAGACAATTTGCTGCTGTTAGCAAAAATGGAACATTGGATGGTTACAATCCAAGTGCTAGAAAATCTATCAGTTTTATCATGAATTTTGGATTTTATAATATTGTTTATCTGCTATCAAGTTCTATGAAGAGGATCACTTTAAAAAGAAAAAAATTTACAATGTTATTTTTGCTATCAACAGAATTATCAAGATATTAATGAAATTGTATAAGAAATTGAGCTGATATTCAAATGTATTGTCATTTCTACAAGAATGTGTTTTGAACCAGATAAACTGAAACTGGTGTTTGAAAACAATTTCTAAGATACATTAATGTCGATGAAAAATGAAATTTTTAGATAAAAACTTGGCTTAGACAATTGGTGATATTCTTAATGAAAATTTGCGCATTTATCCATGCAATAAGGATTTTGAAACTTTTCATCACTTGTCCTTATGATGTAATTTAAGCAGTTTAGCCCTTGTCCTTATGATGTAATTTAAGCAGTTTCCTCTTTCTATCAAGAAATGTATTTAAATATACTAGAATCTTTTTGCAACACATTGATGAGTGTTTGTTGAAATCCTCAAAGTATCTAGTATTGTTGAAGTTATTGCTATGAATTTTTGTTGAGATTTACAAACTCTGTTTTGTTCAATTTTGCAAACCAATTGATTTTTATGCAAAAACAATTATTATAGAGGGTGTGATGGACTAACAGAAGTCACAGAATTTTATATATATCTCACACATTCGATCATGTTATTTATTGGAACATGTCTAAATGACTTTTTCGTTTTTTTCTATTACAGGTCCATTACTATGAGGATGGAAATGTGCAGTTAGTAAGTTCTAAGGATGTCAAGTTGACCCTTAATATAACAGTAAGTTCAGTAATCATTTGTAATTCTTCTCGGTATTCAATAAAATAAATTCTTAGAACCATATGTGACATTGCAACTTTGATAAATTCTATTTTGCACATGTCAAGGTATTGTGTAAATCTGATCAACAACATTACATACATCCTTCTCAAGATTTTAAATTTTCATAGATGTAAAATTACTTTCAAAAGCAGGAACTATTCTGAGTCATCAATTTTATCTTGTATCCAAGAATTTAATTTCTTTTCTGACCACTTTATGATGATGGCATTGATAACTAAATAGACCAATTCTTGTATGGCAGAGCCAATTGCATTTACTGCACAGTAATGTGGGTGGAAGATGAGGCTGATTTTGTAGAGCCATTCTCTCTTGTTTGATTTCTTCCTTTTCTCTTCTGGTAGCTTCAAAGTTTTTCTTGGAAGTACGTTTGATTAGTTTTCCAAATGACCTGTATGCAGCTCTGATTCTATGTTCCACATTCTTTTCTTTCAAAATTAAGGTGCATTCTGAATATTGATCTTGTATCATTTTGCTTCCTAAATATATATTTTCTATTTAGGATCAGTGTCTAGTATCTGTATCAGTTTCCAGGAACTTCTGAATGGGAATATATTGTACTTTCTGACCTTAACATTAAGTAGAAAGGAATTGGGGTGGGGATGCAAGGAAAGGAAATAGGGGAGAAGTTGTGAAGGAGGAAATGTAGGTAGTAAGAAAGCCAGGTGAAAGAAACATATATATTACTATCAATGTGCTTTTTAAACATCTTTCAAACAGTGAAATTAATGTCTACTGGTCTAGACATTTAAATCTTAATATAGAAATACAGGAAACAAGGAATAAATTTCTACTTCAGTTCAAAAGACTGGAGAGGACTGTGAACCGGGCATTTGAACTTGTTTCCTTATATCAGGGGAAAAAATAATTAAATTGAACCTTGCTTTGCTGTGAAATCTTTTGTGTTGGAATTGTCTAAAGTACACATAGCTTGAATGTGAATTTTTCCAGTACAAGTGAGATGTGAGTTAAAACCCTGTCAAAAAGCACTATTTCTTCATTCCTTCTAACATCTACCAACCTAGCATTTCACTGTTCAAAAATGACTGACCTGGCTAGGATGATAAGTTACATCCAACAAAAAGGCCTCTGATCAGGAAATTGGAGGTTTTGAGGAGCATGGAACCACCTCTTAATTGCTGTTCCCAGGTTCACCCTGACTTGGGGTGGTAGCACCAATTAAGGTCTCATCTATGGGCAAATAGTTAAGAAAACAAAAATAAAACTCTATGAAAATACATATTTATATTAAAATTACCAACATTATTATCAATCAACATGAAAGAACTCTTTCATGAAATTAATCTATATAATATCCTACAATTGTTTACATTTTGCATATGAAAACATATAAGATGTAGGAGTGGAATGGTGAAAACCAAGGTGATGACTATAACAGACCTGGTAGCGATGCATCTCTGGGCAGACATATGCAGACTTGGGGTTTCATTTTGCTGGAAAAATATAGGTTTGTTGGATGTTTATCAAAAGATCAACAATTAAGACTCGTAGGGATAGAAAGGTGTTAAAAATTGCAATAAATTAAGAAAATATTCTTTATGAAGAGAAAGAGCAAAGGTATGATTAATGAGAGGATGCAAAAGAAAATATTTGTGCATTCCTTATTTTTTTTTTTTCCTTTTTATTTTTTTTATTTTTTTATTTATTTTATTTTTTTTTTTTGTATATGTAACCAATCCATGTTTTGTATAACATTTAGATAAAAACATGGATGGTCAACAAAGATTGAAAAAAAGGACAAAGGAGAGAATGAGAAGATACAGGCAGAGGATGAGAGAAGAGAACAGGCATGAGATAATGGATGATCATAGTTGTATTGGAAAGGATAAGGGAGAGAATGTGAAGATACAGGCAAAGGATTGAATGAATCTTAGTTGTGAACGTACATGGAATTTACATAGGTGCAGCTAGTTGATATGTTGAAAGTAATTTGTTATTGAATTATCTTTGAGTTTCTAATATACTATTTACATCATTTATATTGTTCAGGCTTTTGTTTTCCTCATCTTTATTGCCATATTCATGATGTTTCAGCCGCTGTATGCTCTGGCCTACTTCAGGTGATATATGTTGGAATTTTGAACTGAATGCTTTATTTAGTCCACGAGTGTAGATTGTTCTAATTCTACAAGCCATGATGCCTCAGTGTCAGCTAATTCCATTTAGTAACTCAATTTTTATCAACTGGACAGTCCAAACAATGTAAATAGTTACAATACCTCATCTCAGAAATACAGACAGACTAATATTCTATTATAATGCATAAATGCCTACCAATGTGCATAGTACCCAGAAAACCTATTCATTATTTTCAAGCCATATCAGCATCTAATTAAATATAAATAAAAAGGGAATCACACCTAATTAAAAAAATTATATTGGCCTCGTCATCTTTGATGTTTAATTTTTTGATTATAATAGAATTTAACATGTTAAATAATGATTCATATAATTTGTGTGTTGTGCATACATTTTGCATGTTGTCTCCTAAAATACATATTTAAAGCAATGACTTAATATTTTTACTTTGATTTGTTGTTTTTTTTTCTACTTCTTGTGAAACTAGTGTTTTCAAAATTTATTAGGTGTGCGTAAAAATTTCCAGCACCCTTTTTTGAAAATTAGATGAAATATGGAGTTGGAAACAATGTTTTAAAATATAAAATGCTGAAAACTTTTGCACACATCAAATATTTTGATGCTATATTGATTTTATATTTATTTAAAAAATTTTTATTTTTTTTTTTTTTTTTTTTTTTTTTTTTTTCAGAAAGAAGAACCAACTGCTAAGGATTTTACACAGTTGGTATCAGAAGCAGAAAGTGAATATCAGGTAATTTTGAATTTTTCCGTTCCCCCGGTAACTTCTAGTTTGGGGATGATTTCACTCTAGGTTCAAATTTTCCCTCTCAGCATGCACATAGGGAAAAATTCTTCTAATTTCTGTTGCTCGGGTTTTTTGAATTAATAACTAGAGAATAGTCGCCCAAAATATTCCAGTTAGGGAATATTTTATAATTTTAAAATTTACTTTTTTTTGTGGCATTAAAATATCTTGTGTGTTTTTTATTTATACTTTCTAAACAAAGAAATTATTGTGGCGGGGTAAGCATAAACTATAGTAGTGAAAAATGATTTTTTTTCAGTTTAAGAATCTACATTGGGGGTTGTCAAACTTATTTGACAAGAGACCTCCTTTTGTTTCTCTTCCTTCCTCAATGACTCCCATTTAAAATATCTTTGATCTTTAAAACCCATACTGGTGTTGGCAATTAAAATGTTAACTAAAATGTATGAAAAGTTAAGAAATTTGGATCAGATTCAAAATCACCTCCTCCTCAGATTCAGAATTTTTCTCTTAAAAACATACTTAAAATATATTAAATAACCCCAATTAATTGAGCAAATAATATATTAAGTACACCAAGCCAATGTTATTGAACAAAAATGCATAACCACTACTAATATCCAACTGCACACCTGTACTAACTAATTAAATGAAATAAACAAATATTGCATCATATTTGATGCAATCATACCAATCAGGCCAAATGATCTTCATAATCATAAACTATTTTACAGTTAGAGGTTGAAAAAAGGTTATTACTATCTGAAGAGCAAGCAATGTAGCATTAAATAAATCTCATCAAAATAAGTTATGTAATTAAGGCTTTTGATTGTCACTCACACACCGACCCCCCCGCCTTACCCGTTCACTATCACTGACCAATATTGAATCACTCGAACCATGTTTGATGACCTCTGGTTTAGATGCACCTAATAATCACTCTAATGAAATTTCTGAATATAAGTAGTTATCATGTTAAGTAATTTCAAAGTTAAGAACACCACTCAAGATAGTTTTATTTCGTACATAGATGCAGTAGTAACAAAAACATTGGTGTTGAAAATACTGCTGATACGTCAGATCTCTAAAAAAAAAAAAAAAATTTGTTCTCAGATAAAAAAAAAGTTATAATCAATTTTTATTGTTTTTATTTCTTTGCAGAAAGCTATCTCTGAGAATTACCAGACAATGTCAGACACTACATTTAAGGCGCTGCGACGACAGTTGCCGGTCACTCGCAGCAAGATTGACTGGAATAAAATCATTGGTTACAAAATCGGCTCTGAGCTGAAGAACCCTTGA